ACTGCATTTGCTCACGATCTGTCCGCAACGGATGGAAGTTACCAACTTCGCTATGCAGGCAAACATTCCGTTCAACTTCACCCAGAGCATAGCCTCATTCAGGTCAATTTGGTGCGCAATGATGGCTCGCCTGCCCTTGTGGGTAACTATTTGGTGGATATGCTTCCCCAATGTGCTATGTTCTCTTCCGAGGAACATTTTGTGCAAAATGGTTGCCAAAGAATCCCTCTTTGCGGGCATCTCGTCTCTCGAACCCGGCGACGTTCTGGGTACAGCTTCGGCTCCCCTTCTTCGCGTGCCTTTTAGCGCTGTCTCTCGCCACAGTTTGAGCGATGGTCTTGAAACTGCGGCTTCAGAATCCACCGCTGCTTCAGACAGCTGGGTCCCTGGTCCTGTTTCTGCAGGTGGCGTTGATTCGTCTGCCACGCCCTCCGTCTCTGACCCCTTTGTGAATAATTTGCACGAGCGACCCGTCCCGTCGCCAAGCGACCGAGGGGACTTTGGTTCCGCCAGTACTCCCTCTTCGTCGCCTTCGCCTGCTCTTCTCGAGCGGTTGACGCCAGAACAGCGTCAAAGTTTCTCCCAAGTCTGGGATAAGCTCCCCTGCCATCTCCGTGAGATTACTGTTGATCTCCACGGCCCGGGTTGGACTCCCGATGTCATTACCTAGCTTGGTAACGTTTTGTGCGAATACCATGATGTGTTTTCGAGTTCTCCGACCGACTTTGGATCTTGTTCGCTTTTTCCTTTTAAGCTTACAGTTCCTCCTGGCAGCGCACCCGTCACGTGTCGCCCCTACCGCGTTAATCCCCCGGTGGCGAAACAAGTTGACGCGATCCTTGACCAATATCTTGCGGCAGGTTTGATCCAACATTCGACCTCGCCTTACTCGAGCCCTTTGGTAGTCATACCGAAGACATCTGGTGGTGTTCGCATCACCGTCAATTATCGCAAGCTCAACAAGCTTTGTGCTTTGAGTCAGCGTCCGATTCCTCGAGTCGATGATACTTTGGAAAAGTTGTTGAAAGGCTAATTATTCCCTTTTCGACATGAAATCTTCGTTTCACCAAATCACGGTGCACCACGATACAATCCCTTTGACGGCATCCGTGACGTCTTCCGGGCTTTTCGAGTGGTTGAAGATGCCTCAAGGCAGTTCGACTGCCCCTGGGTGGTTTTGCAAAGTTGTCAACGAAGTCATCAAAAATTCCCGCGGCGTTGCATCGTACTTGGATGATTTGATCGTCTTTGATGACACCCCTGCTACTCATGTTGGTACCATGCGCGCACTCTTTGAACGCTTTCGTACGCACAACTTGAAACTCACGCCTCCAAAAGCTACTATTGGCGCTACTGAAGCAGACTTCCTCGGACACATAACGGTGCCAAGGTTTCGGCCCTCACCAAAATGCCTATGCCCAAGGTTGTCAAGCAACTACGTTCCCTTCTCGGTGGTCTCAGCTACTACCGTGAGTTCCTCCCCAACATGGCCAAACGCATTCGACCTCTGACTACTCTACTCAAGAAGCAGGAGAAGTTTATCTTCACCCCTTCCATGGAGCAAGCCGTTCGCGTTTTATTAGCTGAGTTGGCCAATGCTCCCGTTTTGGTTTATCCACATTGGGATGCCGTTTCAGACGGCTCGCGACCTTTTCATCTTTACTGTGATGCTAGTCGCGATGGGTTTGGTGGGACTCTCGTACAAGAACAGCCAGATGGTTCAATTCGCCCACTTGTCTTCATCAGTCGGGTTACTTTGGACTCAGAACATCACTGGACTCCCCTCGATCTCGAGGCGGGTAGCATCGTGTGGTATATCAAGCGCCTTCGCGGTTCNCCCCTTCCATGGAGCAAGCCGTTCGCGTTTTATTAGCTGAGTTGGCCAATGCTCCCGTTTTGGTTTATCCACATTGGGATGCCGTTTCAGACGGCTCGCGACCTTTTCATCTTTACTGTGATGCTAGTCGCGATGGGTTTGGTGGGACTCTCGTACAAGAACAGCCAGATGGTTCAATTCGCCCACTTGTCTTCATCAGTCGGGTTACTTTGGACTCAGAACATCACTGGACTCCCCTCGATCTCGAGGCGGGTAGCATCGTGTGGTATATCAAGCGCCTTCGCGGTTCCTTGTGGGGTACGAAATTTCGCATTTTTACCGACCACAAATCTCTCGAGCATTTTGTTAAGGTGGGGGAGAACAATGCCCGAGTTCAGCGCTGGCAGGAATTTCTTACCGCCTACAATTACACTCTCAAGTATCGCAAGAGTTCCGCAAACGGCAACGCTGATTTCCTCTCACGCCTCCCAGTCGCTGCGGCCGAATGCGACCGTTCGGGTCGCAGCCATCTGACCCCGGCTGAGGATGAGGAGGCGGTGTTTTTCATCCGTTCGTGTGACCTTACCCCTTCCGGTGATCGGGCCGCGGGTATTGGCTTGGGTGGGCTTGCCCCCTGTACGGCTGACTTCGCTGATTTCCGTCGGCACGGTCCGTGTCTACCGCCATCAGGCCTCTCGTCTTTATCGGGCATTTGGAACGCCGCTTCCTTGTCGCCCAAGATCGCTCCCTTGCCGTCCGAAATGTTCTGCCGTTCGGCGCGGTCGCGATTGCGCAATCCACCTCACATCGTTTGGTCCGGTTCCCTACCTCTGTCTTTCGATGATGCTTTGGCTCTCGAGCCCGAGCCTCCGTCTGCCGTTCCGGCCCTTGGAAACCCGCGTCGGACCCTCGACCTCACCCAAGTGATCTCCACCAGGACTCGTCATCGCAAGGCAGCTGTGGCAGGCACGCCACTCCCGTCTGTTGATTATGGTTTTTCTGACGATGAACCTTCTTTGTCTATCACGCGGATTTCCGCTCCCCCTCGACCGTTTCGGCGGTCTCCGACGGCGACGAAGGCGCCGTCGATGACACCAGCCTTGCCCAGTTGGGTTTCGACTACTGGTGCTGGTGGTTTATCTTCGACTCCCTCCGCGCCCCTGGCTCATGGAGTGGAGACTGCGTCTCCGACGCCTACCACAACTGCGGTTGTTCCTGCTTTGCAGCCTTCTGCAGCCCCCGGCTCTTCGGGGTCTTTGTCGCGTTTGGTGTCAACCGCTCACATGAATTCGCCTTCGGCTCCCATTGCTACTCTATCCTCGGAAGGGTTGCAGTCGGCGCCTCACGAATCAGCCCCCTCTTCTATCGAGGCGGCTTTGCATTCCTCGCCGGATCTAGCCTTCCGGGCGTCCGTCGAACGTTTCTCGCATGCTGATTGGGCTCGCGAACAACGTAACGAACCTGTGTGTGATGCAGCCATTCGTTTCATCCTTCTGGGTCGGCCTTCGGTCCTCCCTCCGGATTTCTTGGACCGTGTTCCGTCCGCTCGTCGACCCTCTCTTTCGGAGATTCGTGACCTGTCTAACAAAAGCCGGTTGCATGTTGACGATAATGGTTTGGTCTTGCTTGTTCGCAAGCAAACAGCGACCCCGTCGTCCATGACCACGCGTCCTGGCGGACGTGCTGCTCGCCTTCTTAACGATGAACCCATTCGGATTTGTGTTCCCATGCTCATGCGTCCGTGGATCATGCACGTCTGCCACGCTGATGCGTCCTGTCACCTCGCTGCGGCTCGCTCGCTTCNCGTCCGCTCGTCGACCCTCTCTTTCGGAGATTCGTGACCTGTCTAACAAAAGCCGGTTGCATGTTGACGATAATGGTTTGGTCTTGCTTGTTCGCAAGCAAACAGCGACCCCGTCGTCCATGACCACGCGTCCTGGCGGACGTGCTGCTCGCCTTCTTAACGATGAACCCATTCGGATTTGTGTTCCCATGCTCATGCGTCCGTGGATCATGCAAGTCTGCCACGCTGATGCGTCCTGTCACCTCGCTGCGGCTCGCTCGCTTCGCATGCTGGAACGTTTCTATTGGTGGATTGGCATGAGTGTTTGTACGAAATGGTGGGTGCAGCATTGTTTGCGATGCCAAGCCCGTAAATCGTCTCGTCAGACTCCGCGGCGGCCTACCATGTCCCTTCCTTTGCCTTCGGGCCCTGGTGTGTCGGTGAGTGTTGACTATTTTGGTCCACTTCCGTTGACACCGCGTGGCAACACATACATTCTGCTCTTTACAGACCGTTTCAGCCGCCGTGCTGATATGTTCGCGGTTACGGCTGCAGAATTCACCGCCGAAGGCACAGCTGACATCCTTGTCAACAGGTATTCCCTTTGTGGGGTTGCCCGTTGAGTCTTTTGTCTGGCAACGGCTCTCAGTTTTGCTCTAAACTGTCCCAAGCTGTGTATGCCCGTCTTGCTATCCGCAAAGTGGCTACTAGTTCGTACTATTCCTATGGAAACGGGGGTGGGTGTGGAGCGTGTCAACCACACTATGGTTCAGATGTTAGCTATGGTCGTCAACGAACGACAACATGATTGGGACATTCATCTCCCACACGTCGCGTTTGCTTACAACAATTCCGTTAGCGCCGCTACCGGTTCAGCGCCCAATGAGGTGATATGAATCAATTGCCTCGTTTACCGATGACTGTTATTGAGCATCCTTACGCTCGTGGCCACCAAAGCTTGCATCGCGATCAATTCAAATATTGCGATCTTGCTGCTGATCGCCAACGTCGTTCTTATGACTTGGTGCGTGAACAGCATAACCTGTCCGTTTCGCGGATTGAGGGGCGAAATTCCACTCTATCGGACGCTTTCCACAAACTTCCTTCTTACACTGTTGGTGGATGGGTTTGGTTGTACAACTCCGAATCTACCATTCAACAAGGCGTTCGTTCAGGCACAGATGATAAGGTTCTCAAAGCCAAGTTATCTCTACTCTAACCTGGCCCCTTCAAAATCTTGGCTGTGGGCCCGTGTTATATCAGCCCTGACGGTCGTCCTTTGGCTTCCAAGTTGCTTTACTTGGACTTCCTTCGGACCTGCCGGGCCAAGACTCGAAACCTCATGTTTCGGTTGTGCGTTGCAAGCCTTGCGCCAACCCGCATGACACCGATGACCTGCCGCGCTTTCTGCCTGCTGGTCTTACTCCGTATGTCCTGAACTCTAATGCGAACAAATCTCCTCCCTACTATGCTACGGAAGACGACGTGTCGACTCCGGTTGAACGTTTAGAGGTTGAACGCGTTAGTGGCCACCAGTCCGTCCGTGGCCGAGGTGGCACGACAGCTGTTTTATATCAGACACACTGGCAGGGCCTTCTGCGCCCTTCTTGGGAGCGTGAGATGGACCTGCACCATTCCAAGCCGCACATTCTCCGGTACTGGGCAGGTTCGCCTGACCAACATCGCCAAACAAATCGCCGTTATCGTGCGATGCGCATTGGAGCCGCTACCAGGGAATTGGCGCGTGCTCAAGGTACACGTGCTTTGTCTTCGGGCTACTCGCTTGTTTCCCGTTCAACATGGGACCGTCGCTTCCCCAACACTCCTCTACCTGTGGGCGCCTTCTCTGGTGGTTGGGCAAGATTTCTGGACCATCTCTGCCGTCCGACTTCTACGTCGTCCGCTGCTTGGACGATTCTGGACCTGTCAAGCTCGCCCTTCCCGATGTTCGCTACTCTACCGTCGAAACCGCCGTCTCTGGATCCTGGTGCCTCCAAGTACACAGCAGCAGCGCCCTATTTAAGGGTATTCTTCGCAACATCGACATGTCGCGTGGCGACGTTGTGACCGATTCGTTGTTTGATGACGTCGCGCGCCCAGATTAAGATGGCATGCTTGGTTGTTTTTGCCTTCTGTTGCTCTTGCGTTATTTGTTTTCGTTTTCTCGTTTTCTTTCTTGTGGTTTCAATAGTCCGCCAGGTCGAGCTTCCTCTGTTCCCTGCCGAGGTTTTGCCAGCTAGCTGTTGTTTGGTATCCCGACCCCTGTTCTTCTTAGCTTCGCTTCCGAAACGTTTGGTTTCCGGCCTTGTTGGTACGTTGTGGTGCATTTGTACGTTTTCGTATATTTGTGTCTCTACTTCTTAGAGTTTGCGGGCTGAAGGTGTTTCGTGACCTTTGTTGTCGCTCCCACGCTACCGTGGCGAATATTTGGCGTATCTTATCGTTTGTCGATACAGGCCTTTTCTTTCACCGTTCCTTTTGCGTCGCTCCGGCGACGCTTAATTTGTTCGTTTCTTTCGTGTCCTCTTTTTTTCCCCTTTCTTTTGGGTTCTGACCTGTTATGGCATTTGTAGCCTTCGCCTTTTGCGGCTCTCCGGTTGGTTCCCTTTCTGTTAGCCCCAGTTTATTACTTCCTGTACCTTCTTTTTATAGGTCAAACGATGGTCTTGCGACTCATCGAGTGAGAGGTGTGGGAGGTTGAATTGTGGTATTTTGGAGCTCCGCATCCTCGATACTCTCATTTGGGATTCGACAAGTACTTGTCAAGTTCCGAGATTTACGTATCTGCGTATGAGAACCTCCAGGGTGGGCTAGTGTTGTGGGATTTGAATGTGTAGGAAAGTACGAACAGTAGTGCGGGCTAATGCCCGGAGGAAAGTGCGGGAGATGCAACTCCCCACGGAAGGACAAATCAGGGGACATGATCTAGTAGCCCCTGCTTGAGCTNAACCTCCAGGGTGGGCTAGTGTTGTGGGATTTGAATGTGTAGGAAAGTACGAACAGTAGTGCGGGCTAATGCCCGGAGGAAAGTGCGGGAGATGCAACTCCCCACGGAAGGACAAATCAGGGGACATGATCTAGTAGCCCCTGCTTGAGCTGCTGATCCTGGCCCCATCCTAGTCAGTCCTCTACCTTCCCTTGGCAACAGCTACTGCAGCTGTTCCACAATAACAAGTGAGTTCGTCTTCACGGGTCTCCCAGATTGCACCGCGCGTGCATATCCTTTACATAACCCCTTTAGGACTGGATCGAGTTTTGGGGACATTTTTTGTCCCCAGTAGAGTAAATGTGCCAATTAAGGACCACTTAAGCCCCCCCCCACTCAGGCAGCTCGTTCTCTGGCGTCACGATGATTTATGAAGAGGTTGGGGTATCGGATGATAGCTTAGAGCACACCCTACCAGCCCAAAAACCTTCTTCTGAAAAAAGGTCAGGTGGCGATGAAATATAGCCCTCGAACTATACCTCATTTTCCAGAAAAAAATGCGGGAAAAATGACGG